AGGCATGATATTCCGCTCTGAAAAAAAAAATCGGGGCCGGCCAAAAGAGACCCCCTGCCGCGCGCCCGGGGAGCGCCCGCTGCCTTCCCTCGCCAGGGCCGGGCGGCGGCGTGTTGCACGGAGGCTGGTCTGTGGCTGGCCCAGCTCCCTTTTCCTGCCGCTCAGCGGCCTCCGCTCGCACCGCCTGGGCTCCGCTCAGGTATCTGGCTGGGGCTGTCAGGAGTTGCTACCGCCGGCGCAGCTCCACGCGGCTCCAGTCCCGCGTTGCCTCGGGAAGGGAAAGGCAAAACCGGGAGCCGCTGCTGCCGTTGCAAAGCGCCGCCGCGGCTCTTCCTTTTTGCCTTTCCCTTCCTGAGGCAACGCGGGACTGGAGCCGCGCGGAGCCGCGCCAGCAACTCCTGACTCAGGGCCTCCGAGAGGAGGGGAAGGAGGAGAAGGGGTGGGGGGAAAGGAGGGTGCGATTCCCAAAAAAATCGGAATTCCGATTTTAATCGGAAGAATATCATGCCTGAGGGATGCGTGTTGAGTCCCTTACTCTATACTCTTTATGTGCATGACTACATTCCCACTCACGCTAGTAATAATATTACTAAATTTGCAGATGATACAACAGTGGTGGGACTTATCTCCAGGGGTGGGGGGATGCCTATTAAGATGAGGTGGACCAACGGTTGCTTTCATGGTGTGGAGACAATAACTTGGTCCTCAACACCAATAAGACCAGGGAGCTGATAGTAGACAGATCAGACCTCCAGCCCTTGCTTATCAATGGAGACCGAGGGGAGCAAGTGGCCACTTTTAAGTTTCTGGGTGTTACCCTAAAAGAGGACCTGACCTGGGGGGGGCTCACATTGCAGCCCTGGTCAAAAGGGCCCAGCAGAGATTATACTAACTGAGGCTTCTCAGGAAACAACAACAGAATGGAAAACTGCTGGTGACCTTCTAATGCTGCACCAGAGAGAGTATCTTAACTTCCTGCACCTCTGTATGGTTTGCCAATTGCACAATGGCAGATAGGACAGCATTTCAGAGCGTTAACATCATTGCCCAGAGGATCATGGGTTGCCCTCTCCCCTCTTTGGAAGAGCTTTATAGCTCCTGCTGCCTTAAAAAAGTTCAAAACAATTTCACAGATCCATCTCATCCAGGGAACCCTTTTTTTAAACTATTACCATCTGGCAGAAGGTAGAGAATAATAAAAACAAGGACAAATAAGCTGAAATAGAGCTTCTATCCCAGGGCAGTAACTCTTTTGAATTCTGCTGTATAGTGCAGTGTTAGTGTGGTGTGGGGATTTCCTGTTCAATGTGTAAAAGGTGAAGGATGCGTGGGTTTATTTTCATGATCATGGTCATGATGTGCACTGAAGATGGTGTTAGATTTCGTTGTACGAGGTGCAAACACAATAAAGTAAACTAAACTAAACAAGTGTGAAAAACTCTTTTTTCGGTGTCGCCATAATGTCGAATGGACACTAAATGAATTTGTTGTAAGTTGAAGACTTCTTATAAAAAAGAATCCAAGCCGTGGTTTGTATGGTGCTTTAAAGGCTAAAGGAGTTGAAAACTAACTCGGTTTACCATTGCACCTTTTTTTTTAAACCTTTGGTGGAACTGTAAGAAGGCTAAGAGATTTTTGGAATCGAACATGTGCTTGAATTCAGAGAATTCTTAAACCACATGTACAATTAAAACTGGAGGTTTTTCTTTTAAGTTTGATGTATAAGCATTTGGGGGGAAATATATGGGATTTTGTTTCTGTAAGGCAGCCAGAGTTTTTTATATGCAGAGGTGGAAAGATCTCTAGATTCCCACAATGGATTAATTGAGAGTGAAGTGAATTAAACTGACCCAAATGGCAAAATTAACTACCCTGGTTAAAGAAAAGTCTTTATGTATTTTTCTTTCTATGTGGAAATCACTTTTGGATTTTGTGCTGGAAACCAAAAGAAATAGTACATTGATTTTAGGATTTGACAATTCAAAACATTTTTGATTATAGAAATGCTTGCAGTTATTTAATTTTAGATCCAAAGATTACTTTAGATTATTTTATCATGGTGAGCCTATTGAGGAAAGCTGGAAACTTGTTTTTTTTTTTCTTTCTTTTTTTCTTTATCCCTTCCCTTCTATTTTTTTCTCCTTTTTAATAATTTTGGGTGTTTTTCATACGCTTAATTAAATGTCTACAAAAGATGTCAACCCAAAAGATTTCATCTTTTGTAGATATTTAATGGAAGTGTATGAAAAAAAAAACCTAATTCAGCTTAGTAACTTTTATTAATTTTATGGGCAGTGAAATGACAACTGTACCGATAATCAATCCTGTGCAATTTTCATTTTTTCTTTCTAAACTCAGCAGAAAGTTTATACTTTTATGTAAAAGTTAAGTTGAGGTTTGATGTTAATATGTTATTCTACTGCATCAAGGGGAGTTGGAAGTCAATGCCTTTTCTTTCTTTTTCTCCAAACTTTTCCCCTCCCCTATCTGTCCTACTATTTTTGAATCTTATAGTATTGTGGGGGACCCACCCACCCCTCCAGGCTGAGAATTAAATATTTCAGGAAATATTAAAAGAGCCGGAATGTTGTATTTCCCCAAAGGAGAAATGGAGAAACATGCTTTTAAAGGCAGAAAGGCTGCCCCAGTCTTCCTGCTATAAGAAACAGCTTCCAGCAGATGCCTGAAGTCTTTAGAAATGGATATTTTGTGTCCATTAAGAAATCCAGGCCAATCTATTCATAAACAAATTAAGAATTTACATCCCCCCCACCCAAATTCTAAGGACAGGTTATATAACCTTTAGGACATAATAGGATTTACTCACCACCATTAGAATAACAAAAGGCACAAGGCTCACTATATTGCACAACCCACCTGGAGCATCTCAATCACAAAATCCCAAAGAATGTATAGAAGCCCACCCAAAGTGACAATAAAGTTATTCTAAGTCTAAGTCTACCTATCCCCACCCTATTTTGTCAGCCACCCCAGAAACATCCTGCTGTCCCTGAAGTTTCTGGCATCCAAACAAACAGAGACATTCTTTTCTTCAGCCAGCCTCCATTATTCTTTCCAACTAGCAAGCCACCATTTTATTTCCAGCTTCTTTCTCCCAGCTTGGAACCATACCGGATATTTCTTCCAACCATATTAATGCATAAACAAACTAAATTTATTCTCCCCCAAAAAATTATGGGCAGTGAAATGTCAACTGTACCTAGTAATACATCTTGGGCAATTTTCATTTTTTTCTTTGCAAGCTCAGCAGAACGAAGCTATTAAAAATGCACATCAAAATTGTAACTTCATCATCCTGTGCTCCTCCCCCACCCCTCAACCCTGCCCCCTCTGTAGTTTGATGAATAGGTAATAGATAATACTCCCATTTAATAATAATGGAATTCCCACTTCTCCTTTGGGCTCATGATGTAGGAAAAGGAGTGGCAGAACTTGGAGGCAGAGTCAAACAAGGAATCAGCCTAGAATCCCTACGTAGCCACAAGCAAACTAAGTCCAACCTCCTTGTCTATGGAGATTCTCAACCATGCAGATTGTGGTTGTCCCAAATGTGTGTGTGTGTGTTTTTTAAAGCCCACTGGGCGTTCTTGATTTTTTTTTCTTGAAATTGTTTCACTTCTCTTTCAAGAAGCTTCTTTAGTTCTAACCGACCAGTGGGGAATGGAAGCATTTTTATATAAGCAAAATATTTTCAAGGAAAACAACTTAACCAAGTCTAGTTGACATTTGGAAAGCATCTTTGGGACAACCACAATCTGGATGGTTGAGAATCTCCATACATACAAGGATCAATGGGACTCAAGGTAGCAATTGTTCATTGAGAAGATTCCTGTGCATAGGCTTTTAGCAATAAATTATTTCAATTTTAACCTTAATGTGTGGACCTGGTTCTTCCATCCTGACCAGTATCACTAAAAGTTTGCACTTTTTTGACTTGTTCACCCACTGGGGTGCTTTCTGCCCCACTTCCAGTGTAATGTTCTCCAGATATGTGGGTTTCCAACTTGCAAATTCCCCAGTGAAAACATCTGGAGGGCTCCGAAATGGAGAGGGTGACAAAACCCAAATGAGAGAAAGTTTGTGGATATGGGGTTTAAAATATATATGATAAAAGTGAGATGGAAAAAGATGCTGTGGATCTAAAAATGGATTTAAAAATGTCAAGAGAGCTATAGGAAAAGAAGCCACCAATGAAACCAGCTGAGGTCTTAATAATGAAATGGAAAATACAAATAATAAATCAGAAGACCGACAATGGCTTCTTATGGCGCATTAAATGAATGAAACTTTTCCCAAAAAGAGAGAAGCCTTTGATAAAGTAGACCACAACCTACTTCCTGAGCAAGCTAGAAAAACATGAGATAGATACAATAACAATACCACCAGAGGGTTTTTTTAACTGGCTGATAAATCATACTTAACATATAGTCCACAACAAACTATATCTACACGGAGGGAAGTAAGCAGCAGAGAAATCCCAAGGTTCCTTTTTTTGGACCCAATATTTTTCAATGTCTTCATAAAAGATCTAGTTGAGGGAAGAAAAGAAGAAATCATGAAATCTGCAGACCGCACTACGCTGGCAGAAATAGCCAAAGCCCTGCAAGACAAGTTCAAGATATAAAAAGATCTTGACCGACTTAAACACTGGATCCTATCCAACAAAATGAAATTCAATGTAGAGAAGCGTGAAGCCTTAGGCAAGGAAAAAGAAAAAAAGCACATATATAGACTGGGGGGAAACCAGGCTTAAGAGCACTAAATGTGAGAAGGATCTTGGAAGTCTTAGTGGACAACCAGCTAAATATGAGCCAGCCGCGTGTGGTGGCAGCCAAAAAAGCCAATGCAGTCCTAGGCTGCATTAACAGAGGGATAGAATCAAGATCACATGAAGTGTTAATACCACTTTATAATGCCTTGGTAAGGCCACACCTGGAATACTGCATCCAGTTCTGGTCACCACACTATAAAAAAAGATTTAGAGACTATGGAAAGAGTGCAGAGAAGAGCAACCAAGATGATTAGGAGCCTGGAGGGTAGAACATATAAAGAAAGGTTACAGGAACTGGGTGTGTCTAGTCTAGAGAAAAGAATAACTAGGGGAAACATGATAGCGGTATTCCAATAGTTGAAGGGCTCCTAGAAAGACAAGGGGGTTAAACTATTCTCGAGCACCTGAGGGCAGGACAAGAAGCAACGGTTGAAAACTAACCAAGGAGAGAAGCAACTTAGAACTAAGGAGAAACTTCCTAACAGTCTGAACAGTTAACCAGTGGAAGAGCTTGCCACCAGAAGTTGTGGGTGCTCCATCACTGGAGGTTTTCAAGAAGAGAAATCATTTATCTGAAATGGTATAGAGGTTGGACTAGAATGGGGGTCTCCAATCGTGGCAACTTTAAGACTTGTGGACTTCAACTCTGAGAATTCCTCAGCCAGCTTTGGCAGCTGAGGAATTATGGAAGTTGAAGTCCACAAGTCTTAAAAAGTTGCCAAGGTTTTGGAGACCCCTGGACCAGAAGACCCCCCAAGGTCCCTTCCAACCGTATTATTCTATTCTGTTCTGTTCTATTCTACTGAAGAAGGAGCTCTGCAGACGATAAGAAATAAGCTTGAGGCACATTGTTTGATGGGATTAAAGGTTAAACTTTCTAAAGGTAAACAGAAGTATAAAGGGAAATTGCAACAACAAAACTGGGGGCAGATTCCCCACCCACCCCCACATACACAGAGGGGCACGCGCCCTCTCCTCCCCATGAGAGAAGCTCTCCAGATTGGGGAAGCCAAGGATGGGAATCCCCTCCCCTGCCTTCTTCCATAACAGCAATCCCACTTGGCTCCCCTCCCTGCCCTTGCTCCCCAGACAGGGGCCCTTCTGCAGGCTGGCCTTGAGTAAATAAGGAAGGCAACGAAACAGCCTCCCGTCCAGGACCTGTGCCAGTGGGCCCCTGACCAAGTGCAGAAAGCATTTCTCTTCCTGGCTTCCCAGGAAAGGCAGCGATTCCTCTTCTCCAGAGAGAAACTTAAAACACCCTGAAGCTCAACCCTGCCCGAGGAGGCATTAAGCACAGTTTAGAAGGCCAAGAAGCTTTGCTGGGGGAAAAGGGAAAAAGAAAGGGAGAGAGGCAGGGGAGAAAAAGGAACGAATGAAGCGGGAAGAAAGAAAGAAATGGGAGGGAGGGAGGAAGAATTAAGTAAGGCAGGGAGGGAGGAAAAATAAGTAAAGGAAGGAAAGAAGGAAAATAAGTAAACGAGGGAGGGAGGAAAGAAGGAAAAAATAAGAGAGAGGGGGGGGGAGGAGGGAAAATAAGTAGAGGGGGGAGGGAGGGAAGGAAAATAAGTGAACGAAGGTTTGAGGGAGCAAGGAAGGGAAAAAATAAACAAGGGAGGCAGGAAGGAAGGAAAAAATAAATAAACAAACGAGGGAGGGAGAAAGGAAAACGTGCGCCACCTCGTCTTCCCCCTCCACCCCGCGATTCATTTGGGGAAAACGGGATCCGTCTCCGCAAGCCCCGAGGCGCGCGCGCGCGCGCGCTCCACCTCCCCACCCGGGCGCAAGACGCGAACGTGGGTGGGTGGGCGCAGGAAAGGAAAGGCAGGGAGACCCCCACCACCCCCGGGAGGAATAAGGGAGGGAGGCTCAAGGGGGCCGGGGCAGAGGCCTCACCGCCGTCCACGCAGAGGCAGGCGGCCAAGAGGATGGCCAAAGGCGCCTTCATCCCGATTGGCATCTTCGCTTCAATTGCTGCGCTCCGGATCGAGGGAGAGAGAGAGACCGAGAGAGATGCGTCTGGATCGCTGGGCTGCAATCTTCTGGGGTCGGGGTGGGTGGGGGAAAAGCGAATGGTTGGGCTGGGGAGGGGGCTGCGGGCAGGCGACCACGTGCGGCACTAGGCGAATCCAGCCCGGGCTGGGCGTTGCGCAACTAGAGCCATCCTTCATCCGGTCCCGCCTAGGTGTGCTGCGCTTTCGTTTCTCGCGTGAGGCTGGTCGAGGGCTGCCTACACGGCCCGGGATTCCTATAGGTTTCAGAAGGGTTCGTTTAACGCGAGGAGATCGAGCGAGCGATCAAAAAGAGAGCTGGAAGGGACCTTGGAGGTCTTCTAGTCCAGCCCCCTGCTCAAATGTGCCATTGGAGACAAATGACTGGCCAGGCTCTTCTTAAACGCCTCCAGGGATGGAACAGCCACAACGTCTCCAGTCAAGACTGATTAATTAACAAAATAACACAGTTGGAAGGGGCCTTAGAGGTCTTCTAGTCCAGCCCCCTGCTGAAGCAGAAGACCCTATAACATTTCAGACAAATGGTCGTCCAGCGTCTTCTTTAAAAAGCTCCAGTGATGGAGCACCCACGAATTCTGGAGGCCAGCCGTTCCACTGGTTAATCGGTTTCACCATCAGGAAATTCCTCCTTAATTCCAGGTTGCTTCTCTCTTGGGTTAGTTTCCATCTGTTCCTTCTTGTCCTGCATTCAGGTGCTTTGGAGAATAATTTGACCCACTCTTTTTTGTGTCAGCCCACCAAACATTGGAAGACTGCTATCATGTCACCCCTAGGATAATTAACCAGTGGGACAGCTTGCCTCTAGAAATCATGGGCGCTCCATCACTGGAGGTTTTTGCAGGGGTCTTCAAAGTTGACAGCTTTAAGACTTGTGGACTTCCAACT